TTATCACTAAGATTTTTTTTGCAACTCCAGGACTTACGAAATACTTACGAAAATTTTGTGGGACCTCATAAGCATTGCGCAAATCCGACACACGCGTGAGTGAAACTGTCAATTCACTTGTACTGTAATATACTATTGCAGTTTTAGGTCATTAACTTTAATTTCTAATTTTAAGACATAGAACAATGTGAAAATTTTAAATAAGTAACAGATGAAATGACAGCGTCACGAGCAAAGCAAGTAAAATGAACGTTTATATTATAAAAAGAATGCCTCGATACGTTTTTGTTTTTTCTTTGTCTGTATTGTCTTATCTTATCTATTTTTAGGTACACTGTAAAAATATTTGGTAATTATAAAATTATTATAATAAGTTAAAGAAATATCAAAACTGCTAAAATCTTTGGAAACACTCTGCTGCAGGTCCCGCGACCCCCATGGGAGTCACCACCCACAGTTTAAGAAACTTTGCTCTAGAAGAAAGGTGGAAGTTTGGGGTTACTGCAATTTTCGAATCTTTTTTCCAATATGCCACAAATGGAATCCCTTTCGATTCGCTATCAAATGATTCATATGTAACTATTACGTTTTTAAAGTGAAATTTAGGAATTAAAATTAGACAAAAAAGCAATCTTAATTTAGAATAGATTTTGAATAAAACTCTATCGAGGACAATCAGACACAGGATCGTCTTCTTCAGGAGCAAAGTTCTAGAAATGAAGAGAATTACAGAGGTTATTTTTTTGCCTAATTTCAAATTTCAAATTGGTGCATTTCTCTTTCAGTTGCAAATTTAGAAGTTAAATTCTGTTTTTAAATTTCTTTTTCTGTTCACTTGATTTTTCTCGACAATATTCATATTTCATTTCGCAATTTCTAAAGTACTAATATTAGAAAGGATGGGACTGCATTCTTTGGGAGACGACATGCTTTCAGATATATTAAGTATTCTCATGTTAGGTTGAAAACAAATAGAGGATTTAAAAGCTTTTTCCACGATTAGATTTTACGACATATCAGTGTCTACGAACAAACGTCTTTTACGTAGAATATTTTTGCAATACATAAAATGGATTGCGAATGGGACAAATATCACACCGTTATTTATCTGAATATAAAAATATATTTATGCATCATGGATTTCTGGTCAACGTAGTGTGTGCTTGTATAGTATTTTTGTTGAATTCAGACGTGTCGGTATATTATTTACAGCTCAAAGAAAAAATTCTGTTAAGGTTTTGTTGAAGAAAACAGTAGAAGAAAGTAGTTTGTGTGCATTTTTAAATACTGGATTTTAAAGGATGACAGTACGGCCCTAAGTAAACAGCATAGTAGTACTAGAAATAATGTAAACGATATAGCTATAAAATTTCAGAAACCGAATCAGACAAAAATTCTTAAGTTTTAAAGAACTAAGATAGAAATCAAGCTATGAGGTCATAGAGCTTGCAAATAGTGCACGAGTTATTGCGAAAAATCACTTGTAAAAATGCAGACACAAAGAAAACTAGCAAAATAATAGAAAAATTTTCAGATTCTGTAGTATGCGACAAAAAAAAAAAAAAAAAAAAAAAAAAAAGTTTCGAACCTCAGGAAACAGAAGAAAATTCTTGAACTCTTAAAATTCTTCTTAATGTGTCATCGATTGTAATTTGGTTATTGATTCTGCAGTTAAATCTTCATAAACTATTTTTTTTTTTTTTTTTTTTTTTTTTTTTTTGGTGGAGGGCCCAAATATCGTTTGCTTTATTTTCTGCATCCACGAAACACAATAATAAAGTCTTGGAAGAGCTAAAAAAAACTCTCTCTTTCAGTGAGTCATTTAGTTTCTTAATAGAAATCACAGAATTTAAATTTCTTTATGCCTTGCGATCTCGTACAATACTTTTATTCATGTCAATAAAGTAAAACAAAATGAAGGCATGAAATTAGACATTATTAACTTCAGTGAAATAAAATGCTGTGTTTTATTGAAGGATTCAAGATATTAGGTATTTTTTGAAAGCAGGAGGTGTGAAAAATGAGCAATGCCCTCGCCGGGACTCGAACCTCGGACCTCTCGACCGCGTGCAGTGTGCTGACCATTACACCACGAAGGTATGCTAAGAAGGCGCTAAAAATCCCTTATAAAGGTATCTGAAATATGCTATAATGTAGTAAATAAACTGGTTAAATGTTAGGGGGCATTGTTCAATTCATTAATACCAAATGTAGAAATTTTTTTTAACGTTTTCTTTTGAAGCTGGGACGAGTGCAGTTTAATGCAGAAAGTGTCACATTAGAATTTTTCACTACGCTTGTATTCAATTTGGCTATGAAAAATTATATAATTTCGAAAACTGTTAATGTATAACATGCAAAATATACTCAATAAGTGCTTGTACTTTTTAATTTCAAAACAAAAGGACTAGTGGTAATAACTTATGTAGTAGTCTAAACATGCTTTAGAAAATACAGTTTTAAAGGACTACTTTAGGGACTTTCATGCTCTAGATTGCGAGAAGACCAAAATTGTTTTAACCGGCCTTAAAAAAAAAAAAAAAAAAAAAAAAAAAAAAAAAAAAAAGCGATTATCAAGTTTATCCCTCAAAGCTTTTAGAAACACAAGGAAGAAAAAAAATGAAAGGCATTTTGTATGGCTTTCTACAGTTCTGTGATACATTTCCCTCGGATTTTTTTTTTTTTTTTTTTTAAATTATTTTTGAAAGAATATCATTTTCATTTCAGCTTGAAATACTTTCCTTGATCGTGATCACTCAAAAATACATTTTTTTACAATCAGTTATGTTAGGGAATTATGTTTCCCAGAAATGTTATCCGAAATCCATAATATTAGCAAATTTCTTTGTGAGTCCTAGCTTAATGCTATACTGGAAGAAGGCGTAATGTATTAGAATCACCATCTATTCTGCTGAAGTCATTAAACTTTTTCTGATTATTTTAACCAGTTTCGGGATGCAAAGTTCCCCCCCCCCTCCTGATTTTGATGAACCATTCGTAAAGGGAAACAATATAGTATTTCGTGTAATCCAAAAAGAAATTCAAGAAAAATAACGCAAAACGCAGTTATTTTTAAATCTCAAATATTCCACTCATATTTTTTAAGTTAGATCTTTTCTACAAGAATTTCCCATTTTCAAAGGTTTCTTTCCTGCTGACTGCACAAGGATGATAATAATTTGTTTCCATCACTAATAATCACTAGTAGTTTAACTATTTTTACAGTTAGTAAAAAAGGAAAATAAAAACAAAAAACAAAATATGAAGAAGAAATAGAAATTAAAATATTTCTCTTACTTGAAAATTCATTATACTTATATAGATATACATATAATTTACAGTTAAACATAATAATAATTTTTATTATTAAGGAATACTTACATGTTATGAAATGACTTTATTAAACGATGTAATTCAAAAACTGCAAGTGATTAAATGAAATCCAAGTATGTATCTGAACTCAGTGCACACACATACATAGAAAATGAACTATTACTTATTCCGGTAATCAGTGTTTTTTAAAGAATTTTTCAATTATTTGTATGCATGTAAATTAAAGCCATTAAACAGAATCACAACCGGAAAAAAAAAAAAAAAAAAAAAAAAAAAAAAAAAAAACAACTACCTGATTATTTTCCAACTGTTTCTTTTTTCCTGCAACTAACAAAACGAATTTTTTTATATTTATAGCTGCAATTCATATAGATGAGAACTAAGATAAGAATTCATACAGTTCTTTACAAGCAATTCATGCAAGAACATGCAATGAATGAACATGCAATTCTTCAAGTTTTTTTTTTTTTTTTTTTTTTTTAGATTTGCATTCGTTAATAAAATCAGAGCTGTCAAATTTTTGATGTTTTTCTTTCGATCAATGTGCAAGTCTGGCCATTTTATTTCGAACGCTTCCTCGCATTATTAAATTCACGAAACACATATGCATTAGACAGAAAATCTAATTTCAGTTAATGCGTAGATTTTATCATATGCATTTAATGTAATATGATTAGAATTTAGACACTATTTAGATAGAATAAGAGAAAGTCCGATGATGAGCATGTGATTATAAAATGAAATGGAAAAAAATAAGACCTTTTTTTGCTGTACCTAAATATTTCTAAAAAGTGGGCAGTCTTTTAAATGCAGTAATAAAAAGTAGGCAGTCTTTTGAATACAGTAATAAAAAGTTGAAGTGTGTGAAAATTCCATTTTATGCCATTATATGTAATTCATTTATAACAAGAATACAGCTCTGTTTGTATAATAAAAATGAGCAATGAAAAAGAAGTAAATCAATAAAAAAAAAATGAACACGAAGGAGTTTAAAAGGACTTGTTTTCCTTTACAATGTTTATAATTTCTTAATTTTGACATATTAATTATTATTATTATTTTGTTACAAACGCCACATTGTTATTCGTTCTTCTATACTTCTTGTTTCTTCTAACCAATATAATTTTAATAAATCCTATCTAATTTATTTATTCAATACGTTTTGGCAAATTCTACCGTTTCCCAGTTACAAAAAATAAATTAGATCCTCATTATCTTTTAAAATTTTGTAAACTATTTACAAAATAATTTTCTGTAAACCATCTCTCTGATTTTGTATTACCTTTTAAACTTTACATTATAGCATATGATTACAATGTAATGTAGTAAAATCTTAGTTATTAAACTTTAAAGTCTTTTTATTATCATTTGCATTATCTTGGGTGGCTGATTTTTGTACGAATGCACATTTGCATGATAATATATGATTGACATTCATAAGTTTAGAAATATCAAAATTCTTAAAAGAATTTACAGTCAAGTAAATATTTAGTTCTTAATTCTAGCTCTGAATTCGTACAGGAATTAGAATTTCTTTTTGTTTGCATGTAGTTTCTATTATGCTCTTTTTAAAGATGGCATCAAACCCATTCTATAACCTCTTAAATTATGACCTTTTTCAGTGAGAAGTGTCAAGGTCATTCACAAAAATATCAACAAAAACTCACCTTTATGATGGAAGTGATGTTCACGTTGTAAATCGCCTGTGAAACAGCGTAGAATGAAGGAAAGCATTACCGATTAAAAAATTTCCACCGAGAAGTCAGCACAAATGAAGAAACTGTCCTGCATTCTGACCCCTCAAAATTCATCATAATACTCCAACTTTATTCAAAGACGACACGTTACACACAAACTGCGGGGTTGACACGGCCGCACTTCATCAAACCACATACTCTCCCTCCAAAACAAGGAGTAACGTGACAGAAAACTGGTTTTTGTCGTACGTCCAACGGTTAACAAATGAGAGAAGTTATGAACAAGATAAAAACTTATTTCTTCCGCACTACATGGTAGAATCTTTACCGTTCTCCTCTAAACGGTCAACTGACCTTGTAAGAAATAACTTCTTTCAGGCGATGTGTCCGTTGTCCTTTGTTTTGATTCTTGCATGTTCATGAGCGCGCAGTTGGTTTGAAAGAAGTTTAGAAAAATGAAAGAAAATGGAACATAAAAACTTAATGGATCTGATGTTAGCAAAAGTCGAAGCTGTTCTTTAATCAGCGGTGCATGAAAAGAAGGAAGTATTTTTAGAACATTCAAAGCCATTGAATGAGATGATATTTTGGAAAAAAATGTAAATTTTCTTTATATCTAATACCATAAATGAGAACCTTAAATAAATAAATAAGTAAAAAGGGAAAAGTACTTAAGGAAACTAATTTAATATATAGAAATATGATGCGAGTAAAGTTAAAGCAAACATAATTTTGCAAGACAAGTAACTTACTTGGGTTCAACTTGTCATTACTGGCAAGTAGTGTCATCCAAAACATATAAATTTTTGCTTGTACTTACTCTCTAATAAATGCTGTTTTTCATACACTATTTTAAAAATTAATTTGGCATTTAATTTCTATTCATAGTTATTTGTTTACAAATTGCTAACAAATGTGTTTGAAGTAACAAATAAGCTTGTTTATTGCATTCTTATCTTTCTCATAATATTTTCTTTAGATGGTTGAATACTCAGGCATATTTTAAACTCGACAGTTCCAGAAATCTATTGTTTGTTCAGTGGCTAAACGAGCCGTGGAAATATTCAGAGGAATCGGACTGAAGTAGAAAAAAAAAAAAAAAAAAAAAAAAAAAAAAAAATGTACTCTTAAAATGTCCTAAAATATCTGATGATTTTTAATTAAAAGTAGTAACTATTGCTGTCCAAATGTATAAACTTGATAGTTGAAAATAATGTTATTATGAGAAACGTTGTTTGGAATACTTAAAGATGTTTTAAAAACTAGTTTCTTCCTTAGTTTCAAAAAGCAGCAAAAGCTGTAAAATATAAATGTTGTATATACATCGACATCAAATGTCATTTAAGTTCAAACAAATATATTCAGCAAGTAAAAGTAATAAATTTTGCCTTCAAAATAGAACAGAAAAAGCAATCAAAAAGACCTGAGTTGTGCACCAGATTGTGATCAAAGTTCTTAAAATAATGATTACATTTTGCAAGTTTTTATTTCAGTAATATCCTCGCTTCCACTGTGTTTTAATTCCAGTTATGTATATTTTGTGCCCTCCATCTTTTTTTTAAAGCCGTATGAGTTATATTTAATTTTTTAAATATTTTAATTAATTTCTTAATGACATCTTTGCGTTGTAATGCTAAGTTCTCAAATAGAAAATTTTTCATCACCATTTTGCTCGAGCTTTTATCGCCTACTTTATTGCCTACCAAAGCTTGCGTATTCAAAATAAACTTTCTAAAATAAATGCTTGTTTGTTTTCTCATGGCAAAACATAAGAAGGCTATCTGTCTAAAACAGTGGTAAACAAATAAAATAGAATTCTCTTTATTCTGGGTGAAAACAATTATGCGTAGGATTAATTAAAAAATTAAAGCAGTCTTCACGATTTCTTTCACAATTAATTTACAAATTAAGTTTTTTTCTGATTAATTATTAGTTTTATTAGTGAGAAATCCATCAATAAAATTACACAAAGTATTTAATAAAAAATTTATTCAGAAGAGTTCCTGAATGAGTTTTGTAAGAAATGAGCTTTTAAATCCTTTGCTTTAGATAACATTTGTTTAGCGCTAAAATAGCAAAAATCATAATATTAAAAAAATAGTGTATTTTTTTATAAAGAAGAAATTATAATCCGAATGTTATATTTTCTTTATTAATATTAGAATTTAGTTTTAGCCTTTTGTTTCATGCTAAAGAATTTTCTCTGAAAAATTATTGTCGAGCACGAAAAATGAACAGCAAAACAAACTTTCAATATATTTATATTCAATGTGGTAAGAACTGCCTAACGCTAGAGGGCGCTGAAAGCGCCTTTGAGTGTGTGCTGAGACTCGATGGAAGTTGCTCGATAGATGATGTGCGATTTCTGAGATTGAGATATTATTACATTTAATTAAATCAATTTATATTTTATTGATTGGGAATTATTGATTTTGATTTATTGATATGAGATGTGATATGTTTTTGCTGAACCACCACACTTTCGACAAACTTGGATAACCACTGAATCTTAAAACCACCGATGCGCATTTGGTGCATCTACGCCAAAAACCAGGTAAGAGAATCTTTATTGAATTTTTGAAACTGAATTATACCTGGATAGAAATTAAATATGGCTGAAAATCTGTCAAAGTTGAAGAAGAAACGCAGTTCCGTGCGTTCGATGTTGACGAAATTAATTAACAAAATAGAAGTTGCTATCAACAACGAAAACGAGACAGTTGATCAGTTGGAAGCATTTTTGGAACAATTAGTCGAAAAAGAAACTGACTTAAATTCTTTAAATGATGAAATTGAAAATCTTTTGAGCGTCGAAACAATATCTGAAGATATAGAAGCTTCAGAAGAAATAAAAGAAAAAATAATTTTTTGGAAATCGAAACTTCATTCTAAAATAAAGAAATTGAATTCTGATTCTATCCAAGTTGATACAGTTTCACAAAACATTCAGTTGATTAATAATGAAACTGAAAATATAAATATAAAATTGCCTAAATTACATATTAGTAAATATTATGGTAATTATTCTGGTTGGTTAGATTTTTACAATTTATTTGAAAGCTCTGTTCATAATAATCCTAAATTAAGCAAAGTTGATAAATTTAATTATTTGAAATCCTATCTCGGTGGTACCGCGGCAGCATGTATTAGTGGATTTGCTTTAAGTGATGAAAATTATGATAAAGCACTTGATTTATTGAAAGAAAGGTTCGGAAATAAAAACATTTTGATTAACACTCATTTGAGTGTTTTGCTGAATTTAACTCCGGTTAAAAATCCTAACGATGTTATAAGTTTACGAAATTTATATGATAACGCGGAAACGCAGATCAGAAGCTTAGATTCTTTAGGAATTACAGGTGAATCATATGCAAATCTATTGACACCAATTTTAATGAAATTAATTCCTTCAGAATTCGTTTTAGAATTTAATCGCATTCAAGGCGACAAAGAATTTGACTTAAAAACTCTTTTGCAATTCATTAATAAAGAAATTCGAAGCCGCGAGAGATCCTTTCCAATAAATAATTATAAATCATCGAATCAACGAGTGCACTTATGTTCCTCGCAAGAGAAAATAAAAAATAAAAATTCTACTTCCGTTAGACATAACTCTTCAAGACCTCCGCATAAGAGGGAGAATTCTTTCCCCTCCCCACACACGCGTCTGGCGGCAGTCGAAAATGTTTCTTGTAGCAAAGGTCATAAATCAGAATCGTGCTCTACATTTAATGCAAATGAACGGAGAGATATATTGAAGCAACGAGGTCAATGTTTTCGTTGTTTGACCCCAAACCATCGAGTGAAAGAATGTTTGAAAAAGGATTTGTGTCCCATCTGCAGCAAACCTCACCATGTTTCAATTTGTTTTCGAAATCAAAATAATCCACACATTATTTCTCCAAAAGGAGAAACCGATAATGTCGTATCAGGCGAATATCGTATCGGCACAAAAAAAAAAAAATACTATGTTACAAACATGTTCAACCTTAATTGATAATGGAAAAGAGCAGGAAATTGTTAGAATTTTCCTGGACAATGGTTCACACCGCTCCTTTGTTTTATCAGCTATTTCCAAAAGATTTAACTTTCCAGTTGTTAGAAAGGAAAGCCTTTCCATTTGCACATTTGGTGCTAAGGAAACGGAAACAAAATCATTTAATGTAGTTAAACTTAAATTAAAGAATAGAGATGATCCAAATTTATGCATAGAAATTGAAGCACTGGAGACAGAACATATTTCGGGTACACATTTACCGACTCCCGATAAAAATATTGAGAAACAATTTAGACGTTTAAAAAATGTACAACTAGCGGACTGTTATGAATTTAACAATAAAGAAATATCAATACTAATAGGTGCAGATTACTATTATGATATTGTCACTGGTCGAATTACACGCCTAAGCAAAACCCTCGTTGCAGTTGAAACAATATTTGGGTGGTGTTTGCAAGGCCGAAACACGAACTTAAATGAAACGTTTGCAATGAGTGTTATGGTAAACGAATCCAATATTTCCGATCAACTCAAGGAATTTTGGGATTTAGAGAATTTGGGTATCGAGGCAGAAGTAGCTGAAATAGAACCCACTGAGAAAGAAATAATGAGTGAATTTGAATCCGGAATTACATATCAAAATAAGCGATACAAAGTGAAATTGCCCTGGAAACCAAATATGAAGACATTATTAGAAAATAACGAGCAGATAGCAATGAAAAGATTTTTGAGATTGAAATCATCTTTTAAAAATGACCCGTCCTTATTTTGTGAATATAACACTGTTCTAAAGAATTATCTTTCGGAGAATATTATTGAACCTGTCCCAGTTGAAATAAATTTACGCCAAAATACATTTTATCTACCTCATCGAGCTGTAATACGTACGGATAAGACTACAAGTAAATTACGCATTGTGTTTGATGCTTCGGTGCATGCAAAAGGTCAATTATCTTTGAACGATTGCTTATACACAGGACTTAATTTTATGCCTAACTTATTTCTTCTTTTGATCAGATCTAAAGAACGAATCCAATAGCATTTGTTGCAAATATTAAGATGGCTTTTCTCCAGATTGAAATAGATGAAAGTGAGCGAAACTACACCAGATTCTTCTGGAAAGAAGATCCAGGAACTGATGATGAAAACAAGAAATTGGAAATTTTTCGGATGACAAGGGTGTTATTTGGGGTGAGATCTAGCCCGTTCCTCCTTGCAGCCACAATCAAGTATCACTTGAACAGGTACGTAGATATATTTCCTCTGACTTCTAAGCATCTTAATGAGTCATTGTACGTTGATGATATTATTTGTGGGCAAATCACTTTTCAACAGGCTCTAAGGACTTGTAAAGAGAGTGTAGACATTCTAAAAGAGGCAAGTATGGACCTTCGAAAGTGGAGAACCAATTCTCCTGAGCTAAGTAAAGAATTAAAGAATTTAAACTTCAATGTAGATCAGGGTGAAGAGCCTTTAGATACAAAATTGATAGCTTCAAAAGTATTGGGACTTGGTTGGGATGAACAAACTGACACGTTTTATTTCGATACCAGAAATCTGTAAACATTTCTTTCAAAAAGAACTAACACTAAAAGACACTTACTACAAGCAGTAGGTCGACTTTTCGATCCAGTAGGTTTTATAGGACCATATACTATTAGAGTTAAGTACTTGATGCAAGAAATTTAGTGTTTAGGATTAGACTGGGATGAAAAATTGCCCAAACAGTTAGAAATTGATTTTAATAAATAGTGCGATGAAATCCAAGATGTAAAGGAAATAATTATTCCCCGATATTATTTTCAAAATTCTTTGCCCAGTCATTCAATCACTATTCAATTACACTGTATTTCAGATACATCTAAGAAAGCTTATGGTACTGTTGCGTACTTACGCATAGAATTAAAGAGTGGAAATATCATTTCTAGGTTTGTAGCATCAAAGAGCAGGGTAGCTCCGTTAAAAACCCTTTCGATTCCTAGATTGGAACTCATGGGTGCACTTTTGTCTTCAAGATTGAGCAATAAAATTGTAACTGCACTAAGTTTTCCAGTTACTCGATATTTTTGGACGGATTCCTCAATAGCTTATTACTGGATCAAAGGTGATCCAAATAGACATAAGGTGTTCGTGAAGAATAGAATAAAAGAAATACAAAAATACAGCAATCCCAGAAGAATGGCATCATTGTATAGGAAAGAATAATCCCGCCGATTTGATTTCTAGGGGTTTATCCTTAAGCGAAGCTCAAGAATAATCAGCTCTGGTGGCATGGACCCTGTTGGTTGACAATGAATAATACAGCATGGCCATCCTCCTTAGAATCAATGGAAGAAACCGAAGTAGATGTCGATAAGTTAGAGTTTAAGAAGTCAGTTGTTGTAAATGCAACTGTTGAAAATAGCCAAACTGAAAACGATTTGATCACAAGATACTCCTCATTCAGTAAATTAATTAGGATAACTGCTTTATGTTTGAGATTTATAAATAACTGTAAAGCAAACCCAGAGTTGAGAACAGACTTCATATGTGCTTCTGAGTTAAGACATGCTACTGAAGTTTTAGTAAAACTCGTACAGTCAACTGAATTTCAAAGGGAAATAAAGTGCTTGAAAAACGGACAATCTTTTCCAAAAAATAGTAAAATATAATTTCTGAACGTATTTCTTGACAAAATGATGTACTGAGAGTAGAAGGAAGACTGGAGTATTCTGAGTTTTCTGAATTTCAGAAACATCAGATACCCTTGCCAAAGGCTCATCATTTCACTAATTTAGTTATTGAATATTATCATAGAAAATCCTTACATTCTTGGCGTACAGACTACATTATCCTTAATAAGGCAGTCATATTGGATACCGTCTGGTCAAGATCGAGTTAGAAGAGTAATAAATAAGTGAATCACTTGCTTTAGAACGAAAAATCAAACGGTAAGCCAGATGATAGGTAATCTACTAGGGACAGAGTTGTGCCTTCTAGACTTTTCGAGAAGGTCAGATTAGATTTCCCAGGATCTATAATCACGAAACCTAATTTGAAAAGGTCAAAGGTGACTTTAAAGTCTTATATTGCATTATTTATCTGTTTTTGCACTAAAGCAGTGCATTTAGAAGTCGTTTCTGAGTTAACAACAGAAGCTATTCTAGCCTGTTTACGACGATTTATTTCTAGAAGATCCAAACCAGCCGTTATCTGGAGTGATAACGCCACGAATTTCAAAGGTGCGAGAAATATTCTTAACGCATATAATGATATTTGCAAATCTAACCCAATTCAAGGATTTAGTGCAGAAGAAGGCATCCAATGGAAATTTATCCCACCAGCTTCTCCTCACTTTGGCGGACTGTGGGAAGCAAACATAAAATCAGTGAAACGGATTTTGTTAAGGGTAGCAAAATCAGCTATCATGAATTTTGAAGAGTTAACTACTTTAGTTACTCAGATAGAAGCAGTTCTGAATTTCCGGCCCATTATCACCGCTTTCTTCCGATCCGAATGACTTACAGCCTTTAACTCTGGGACATTTTTTGAACAGGAAATGCTATGTTATCCTTTCCTGAACCACATACTGCTTCGGATTCTCTTTCTTTTCATTCCAGGTGGGAACTAGTTCAGAGACTCCAAGCTAAATTTTGGAAGCGGTGGCATTCCGAGTATCTAAATCAACTACAGAATCGTGCCAAATGGAGCAGTTCGCAGACAAACATGCAGATTGGTCAACTAGTACTGCTGAAGGACTCCAACCCCAATCCTTTGCATTGGCCATTGGGTTGCATTCAACAAGTGTATCCTGGTGCTGATGGTCTGGTCAGAGTAGTTGAAGCTAAAACCTCTACAGGTGTTCTTTGGCGAGCCATCAACAAAATTATATGATGATTACATGCGTATAAATGGGGAAAAAAGTTAACTTGGCTGTATGATATTTACATTATTCCCATTTCATATTAACACGTTCGTCTGTTTCTTTTTTATGGTGGTACTTTTTGAAGCAAATGACAACACCACACCTTTAAGAAAGCACATCCCAACATTGCATATTTTGCACTTGTACCGGGATTCGTATCGGATTCACTTTTCTGAAGGCAATTCGTTGTTGCTTGTAGTTGATGCTTCTGGCAGAGCAATGGTGTAGCTCTTCACCAACAATTTGAAAAAGGAGGGAAGCCACTTGCGTTTTACTGAGAAATCTCTAACAATACAGAGATACAGTGAGTACGACGAAGAGCTACTTGCTTCAATGGCCATAAGGCACTTTCGAGATATAGCAGAAGGTCGCAGCTTTATTTTATTCACCGACCACAAACCGCTTGCATTTACATTTCGGAAAAAAAAAAAAAAAAAAAAAGGGAGATTATTGCTCCCTACGATAACTGCGGCAACTGTATTTTATCAGACAATTTACGACTGATACTCGCTACTAAAAATGTTCAGACAATGTAGTAGCGGATGCGCTGTCGCAGATTCATACAGCTCAGCCTCCAGTTACTTTGCAGTGTGATATCGCCACAGGTCGCATTCGCTCTTTCGTTCCTTAGCCGAGCAGTGTATATCAGCTTTCACTCCTTCTCACACCCGGGAGTTAAAGCCTCCGTAAAGCTGATCGATGGAAAGATATGTTTGGCCTTCAATGACAGTGGATGTGTCATCTTAGGCTCGTAAATTCTTACAGTGTCAGAAATCTAAAGTGACACGTTATACCAAAGGCAAAACTATTGTTTTACTGCCACCTAGTGCCAGATTCGAATACGTGCACATTGACTTCGTGGGACATGTCCCTCCATCCGAAGGCTTTCTGTACTGTCTCACATGTGCCGATCATTTTTATAAGTGGCCAGAGGCATTTCCGTTACTAGATATATCCGCACCGACAGTTGCAGCAGCCTTCTACACGGATTGGATCTCCAGATTCAAATCCCCAGTCCGGCTAACTACCGATCAGGGAAGGTAATTTGAATCATCACTCTTCGATGCACTAACCAGAATCCTGGGTACAGCTAGACTACGCACATTCCCATACCAATCATTTGCAAATGGTCAAGTTGAAAGATTTCATTGGCAGCTGAAATCTACAATCATGGTATATAGCAATACTCAGTGGACTGTTTCACATATAATTAAGATGAAACCGGAGAATTCAGTTTCTCAAGCTGAAATTTTATCGGTCCAGAAAGCATTGAGATGAATTGAAAATAATTTGTGTAACTCCTATTCTATTAATATATTCTTTTGATGCTTTATTGGCACTGCTGGCGCTTTTCCGCCTAGTGAGATGAGCCAGATGAAAGGATGGATGCGCCAGCCAAAGAGGCCGCCTTGGGTGATGGAAATGAACATTACGAGTTGCAAAGTTGCAAAGGAAATGAATGAATCTGATGGAAAACTTTATATTAAATAAATGGAAAACACAGTGGGAAAATTCTTCGATACATACATATATATATAAATACATATATATATAAATACATACATACATACATATATATATAAATAAAGAAAAATATGAAAGATTATAATAAAATAGACTTAAATCAAATCCTATCAGGTCACGGAAGATTTACTAAGTATCTTAGTAAATTCCATCTTTAGGAGAATGAAATATGTAAAACTTGTAATAGTTGCGGAGATGCCTCCAACTTCGTTGAGAACTGTTCTTTAACAGGAAAAGTGAGAAAAAGGTGTGGAGATTTTGAAACGTTTTTTGAGAAAACAGAAAATAGAAAAAAAAGTTAGTTATACTGAAGAAATCATGAAAATTATTAATAAATGTATTGGAATAGAGGGCTGAATTGAAATTTAAGAATTTATATTACGTATTGATTATTAGATGTAAGGAAATTTATTGTAAATATTTTTAGATAGAATTAATGTTGAATTAGTTAGATAGAATTAATATTTAATTAATTAGATGGAATAAAATTAATTAGACAGATTTGAATTAATATTGAGGATCGAGGTTTATGTATGGAGTGGATTGTTTATATTATGTGTTGTGCTCTTTGGTTTATAACCATTTTATTTATCATTTTGTTCTGTTTGCTTTTGTGTGAATGTTTATATCTGGAGTGTGTGTGGATTTTCGGCTTTGCCATACCGCCAGTCATATTTATTATTTTGTTCTGTTTCGGTTCTTAACCTTTTTTTGTTTCTTGAGGCCCTCGCTTGGTTTTTCCAGTGGCTTTAATTTATCTAATTGCCCAGTTGTTTGACGTTATACTTTAATTCTTTTTTGAGGAGTGCTGCCGGGTCTCTTGATTCATCGTTTGTTGTTGGAAAGGCCACCCTCCATTTAAGCCATAAGGCCGACCTCGGTTGGCTAGGAGAGCCGGCGGACTGCTCCCGTTAATCACCACTCAGTGGACTACTGTATTCCATACAATTTTATTAGGTTTCAGAGCCACTTGAAAGGGTGATTGATCTGTAAGCAACCACAGCAGAAATGGTGTACGAAGTTTCAATTCATCTCCCAGGAGAATTCTTATTCCCTACGCCTAGTATTCCAGACCCGTCACTTTTGTAGTAAAGCTTCGCGAATCTATGCAACGCCTCCTTCCTCCTACAAATCA